ATGTATGTTGTGTGTATGGAGAATAGCTAAAATTTTTGTCTATGTTGTGTGAACACATCATAAATATACTACTTATGTAAGTGTGTAATGTCTGAAACTTTGTAAACTATCAAAGGAAAGTGCTTATGTGAGATGTGGTATAAACTAATGTTGAAAAATTTCCAAAATTAATTACTTCTGGTTTTAAAATTATATTTAATAAGGTTACTAGAAATGAGCATTTTATTATCTCAGAGTTTATGGCTTTAGTACCAGATGGTTTCAAGGTTGCAAATCAAGTCTAAAATTTATCTGAAGTTGAGAAATGCAGAGGTAAAGAATGAAGAACAGAAGGGAGCCATGATAAGACAACTTTCTTTCACTTTGAGAAGGTAAAGGTGTAGTTCCTTATTTTTAGATCATTGTTGAGTAGTTGGTTTGCTTTCATAAAGCTGTCAGGACTGATTTGTTAAATAAAACTTGGAACAGTTATTGCTTTGTAGTCCAAATGGCACAGACTCTGAATTTAAAATGTAGTGAATTATAAGTCTCCTTTCAGAAATCTTATTAAAACTGGAAACATTGGAATTTCAGTAGTTGATCATTATGAAGTGGGGGGGAAGAAGTTGGTATGGCTATTTTTTTCTCCTCTAGCTGCCCTGCCCCCTTCCCCCCAGGAAACAAAGCCTGTTTTGTTTCTTGCCTGCTTGTGAGGTCTGCTTCACTCCATGTGGGTGCGCTGCTCTGGGCTTTGTTTGGTTAAGATACTCAAAAGGTAAAGAAAAGGATGCTTCTGGAGACATAAATCCCAGCTTCAGTAGATAAACAAGAATTTGAATTGGTCATTTAAGGGCACTCTTTACATGCAAACTTTGTAGCACCGCATGTATCCTTACTTAGGTAACAACATTTAGGTAAACACACCTAAAAGTTATTACCCAGTTGGATTTATTTATGTTAATGAAGACTTGGTCCATATTTCTGTGTTTTTTTGTTTTTTTGGTCTGGGGACTGATTCTTCCTCGATCTTTTGGTAACCTATGTTTCCCTTTCTGTGGTTTTGAATAATCAAAGTAATAGATTTGGAAAAGACCCTACCAATCAATTCAGAAGCTACCTCTCTTTGTGTGAGCTCCTGTCTGAGCATTATACCTTGATAGGAAGTTAGCAATTTGTGGTTATCCTATTGCATTGTGGTAATTCCAATAATTGGGGAATCATTTTCCGTATTGAGCTGATTTCCGTCTCCTCCAGATTGCTGCCATTTATCTGCACAGGAGTTTTGCAGAATACATCTGTTGTTAAGTGCCATCTAGTCAGGTTCAACTCATAGCAACCCTGTCTAGGGTTTCTGAGGTACAGCTGGTGGCATGTAGTCCAGTGTTGATTCTTCAACCATCTGATGCAACTGTTACCTGATTCCAGTATACGCTCCAGTTTAATTGGCCTCAAAATAATTCCCTTTGTAGCAAGCATAGTGTGTAGTCATTATCCTTATAGTTTTTTTTAATGTGAACCTAAATTTGCAAGAATCTCTCCTGTGCAAAGAAAAACAAGACACAGTGCTCTTACAAAAGATTTGATCTAAAACAGGTGTTTGTTGTTGTTGTGAAGTGCTGTAGAGTCAGTTCTGACCCATAGCAACCTTGTGTAGGGGTTTCTGAGGAGCGGCTGGTGAGCTTGAACCTTGTGGTTGAAACAGACTTTGCAGTCCAGCGCATTAACCCTCAGTACCAATCTTGGCTTCTCAATAATTGTTGACTTTTTTCTCCTCCTGTAAAATGCTAAATTTAATACTACAGTTATGGAAGTTGAAGCTATTCATATAAAGTCATTGTTGTTGTTAAGTGCCATCAAGTTGGTTCCGACTCATAGTTATGACCCTGTGTAGAGGTTGATGTCACTATGAGTTGGAATTTACTCCATGGCTTTTGAACAAGATCAAACAGTGAGTCACATTGTGACATTCTTTCCTAGTCTGCCAGACAAAATATTAAAACAAGATAACCAAAAAGACATAGCTGGAATTGTATATTTAAAAAATACCTCCATAAGTCAGAAAATCAAACCACACAAAGTATTGAATAGAAGCAATGATGGAGCCCTGCTGGGTATAAGGGTTACTTAGCTTGTTAACTTAAAAAGGGTTCACCCTAAGGAAGTCTTGACGTGGCACTGTGGGATAAACCTCTGGACCGCAGGGTTGGCTGTTCAAACTCACCAGCCTTTCCTTGGAAACTCCGTACAAGATTGCTATGAGTCAGAACCGACTTGACGGCACTCAACAAAAACAGGAACCAGCTGTAGGGGAGTTTGGTGATGCCATGGGATAAGTGCTGGACTTTGAAACACAAGGTCAGCAGTTCAAGCCCATCAGTAACACCAAAAAAGATTTAAAGCCTTGGAAACCCTATTCAGAGGTCTATATGAGTTGAAACCAACTCAGTGTCTGTCAGTTAACAATAGCAGCTGTAAAAGATGTAATTTAAATTGTAGAACTAAGGAGCAGAATAACAAAAAATCAAAAACTAAATATGGAAGTTTGGTCTGCAATGAGGATGATTGGGGGAAGATAAACTTTTAAGTAAGTGGTATTGTGTACAGTAATGATGCAGTCATACATAATAGAATGGAATTAGATCCATTCATGCATATGCTAGGATAAATTCCAAAGGGATCAGATTAAAATGAAAAACAAAAAACTTCCATCTACTTACCATAATTACTGCAACCCATGGTTTCATTGGCACTGAGTCAATGACAGAATTTGACTAGTATAATACGTTAATCCAGTTCATTTCAAACTGTAGATTCCATAACAACAAACAAACAAACACACACACACACACACAAGTTAACGTTACCTGGGCTAAATGCTAGACAGTGGTGATGAATGACATGAGTCTTAGCCACCTAGATACTTAAAAGGTTGTTTTCTTGGGCAGACATTAGTTTATTTTAATATATTTATTTGTTTTATTGTTGTTAAGTGCTGCTGAGTCGGTTCCGACCCATAGAGACCCTGTATAGGGTTTCCAAGGAGCTGGTGAGCTTGAACCGCTGACCTTGCAGTTCAGATGGCTTTGCAGTCTGGTGCATTATCCCACAGCACCACACCAGAACTTATATGTAATTTTGAATTTTGTTCAACATTTTCTGCTCCTCTCTGAAACCTTCTCATGTGATTCCCTTCAGAGCAATTGGTAGTGGTAGCTGAGCACCTTCTAGTTCTTGTAGTCTCAGAATCCTAAAGACTGATGTTCACATGAACTTCAGGTAGCTCACTGGAGTAACTGATTCCAAGCATCCTCAAGTCCCATCCGTCTTTCTTCTGAACATGGAGAGACCATTAGTTGCACCTTAGATGGCCACTCACTCTGATTGCATTTGAATAACTAAGTCTTTTTTGTTTTTGTTTTGTCTGTCTTAAAATATTTTTTAGGCTAAACTTTTTATTTCATTTCAGCCATCAACCAGAGAATCAGCCAGAGTGCTCCAGTGAAGCAGCCACCACCTCTGGCTCCCCAGAGCCCACAAGGAGGTGTTATGGGTGGCAGCAACTCCAACCAGCAGCAACAGATACGACTGCAGCAACTGCAGATGGAGAAGGAGAGGCTGCGACTGAAGCAGCAAGAACTGCTTCGGCAGGTGAGGCCACAGGTTAGAACACAGCCTACCACTTTCTGGGGTTTGTTTTCCTACATGAAATTGGGTGTGTTTCATGTTAACATTTATTATGTACAGAGGAGTGTTGTCTTTCTGAAACTAGAATGGCATAGAAGTGTTTTCTCTCGCTAGATCCTTACCTTAGTTTCTTGACTGGCCCTTATTACCTGGTATATAACTTAGAAACCTGTACCACAAGAAGATATTTTAGCTGTGGGTCATTGCAGTTGAACAAAAATAGAAGGAAGTAAGGAGTCTTTCTCAAATGTACATGGAATTGTAGACGTCTATATTCCTGAGGATTGCTCTAAAGGCTATCATGTTAAATAAAAGCATCTTTTACTTTAGGTGAATTACTCATGTGGGGGATACACTAGTTTGTGACATCTCAAATATGTCTGCTATCTTTCAGAACTGCTGAGTTTAAGGTGTTTTATTTAAACCATATTACAAGTTGTTATCTCAAGGTTAAAAGATTCTACCATACCTTAAAGTTACCTGCTTATGGGTATTTATTTCATGTTGGGAAGGGTAGAAACTAACAGAGATATTTGTAGTCTTTTATTACCATTTTCATCAGTTTTATTTCAGAAAGTGCTTTTGGTCTTTATGTCCCATGAGAACAGATAAATCCTCTGAGTCTGATTCAAATTTTAGTTTTTCTGTTTCAGAATTGTGAAGTAATAAATTCAGATATTGGGGATGTGATCTTATTGCAGTATTTTTTGCATATAATGTGTCCATGTAAATAATATCCAGATACATATAACATATATAGTGCACATATTTACATAGTAATATGTAAATATTATAAGGAGTATATTTTTTAAATGTCTGCAAATAGAATTTTTCTGAATAGGTGATAAAAATAAGGTATATTATTCAAAGTTTATGAAAGTAAAATTTTCTCCTGTTTCTCTCGTTCTCTTCCCTGGATATATACAATGGTTTCTTGGTTGTTGGTTTTTTTGTTTTTGTTTTCCTCAAAGATAGTCTTATCAATTAATCAAAATCCCTGTATACCACGAGAGTTCAGAAAGTTTGTGGAAAAATAACATATCTATTCATTCCATTTTTTTCCATGAATTTTTTTAAAGTCACCACATATATACTATTTTTCCCCACCTAAATGGTAGCATACTAAGACATTAAGAAACCATGTAGTCTGCAGTCTACACTAATGTTACCAGAGAGTAGGCATTTAAACAAGGTAAATAGGGCTATCCTTAAAGGGTTCAGTTGATTGTCATTGAAAAGACACGGACTTTATACCATCTTTGAAACTGAATTTGGGATTTGAGGAACTGGTACCTGAAGAACTAAACTAAGCCATGGAGTCCCAAAGAGACTTAAACTGCATGCTCTGTCAGTAATGTGTCATTGTAATTCTAGTGTGGTTGGCACCAAATGAACCCTGGCAGGAGTAAGAGAGTTTGTGCCAACATAAGATGTCAGGACGCAGTCTTCAAAGAAGTGTTTCTTCATCTGCCATTAAGAAGGGAGAAAGCATATTAACACAGTTCACTATACCTCAAACGGACTTTCTAACAAATTAAAGGAAAGGTATTTTTTCCTTGAATAAGACTATGCTATTAGAACTAGGTAACACCATTAAGAATAAAATTACATGGCTGTTAGAAGAAAGAAAACACTGTAAGAGTGTGTTTTTAAGCATATTTTCATTGTTTGCTTTTCATTTTGTTTTTATTGATTCATTGTAAGTAAATATAGGTCATAATTTTACATATGAATGAAGACTTTCCAAATCAAGAAACATGAGTAAGCAAAAAAGGTTCTATAATTGCTTATGCCAAACTCTTGCTATTTTAAAGGTAAATTTAAAAAGTCTAGATATGAGCCATTTGTCATTTTTGTTGTATGCTATAGATCAGCCTAGTTTTGTTTTGTTTTGTTCTTTTTTTTCTTTGTGGGCAAAAAGCTGCTGTTGTAAGTTCTTCCTTCCAGTGAATTCTTATTCTCACTTTTGCTCTGGGTGATGGGTCCTGGACAGAATAGCTTCACTTCCTTTAAAGGTAACTTCTTTATTTCTTCTTTACTATCTACTGTGTTGTCTTTTTACTGTATTGAAGTGAAAAAGCTCTCTTTTTATACTAATAGTCTACTGTTATAGGGTTTTGTTTTTTAGCCATTCAGTATAAATTCAGGATATTTTAGGTCTTTGGCTTACTGTGAGCTTCTGCTGTTGACATTTTTCTCTCATCACTGAAACATCAATTGTAATTTTCTTGACCTACCTGACCAGTATCAGATTGTATTTTAGTTCTGACAACTAAAATCTTGCTGTCCTATCCTCACTGCTGTTAAAAACTTCCAAGGTTTCAGTTTTGTTTTGTGGTGGTTCCAGTGGCTCTGTCTTCCTCAGTCTGCTTCCTCTTGGGCTAGCTTGGGAATTCTGTGCTATGGCATTATGACTGAATGCAAATTTGTAAGTCAGCCTGCACAGCCAAACCATGTGGCTTAAAGTAATTTTTACCCGTCTTATTTTTTACTCTTAGGCAATGCGGAATATCAATCCCAGCACAGCAAATTCTCCAAAATGTCAGGTAGGCTCTCATCTGATGTTCTAGCGTGGGAAAAGAAAAAAAGATACTAAATTAGAAAAGAGAGGAATTTATGCTCCAGGTACCTGTCATCATTGAAGGATTAGCCCAGTATAAGTTTGAGCCGTTTTTCGACCACAATACCTAGGTGAATATCGCTTGTCTCAGAAAGTTTATACTATGGCTTTTCTCTCATTCAAGAGCATTTAGCATTTATTTTAAGTGAGTGAAGGTCTTTTTTTATTCCACATTAGAAATGTATTATATTTCAGTTGTACATTTTATCAGCCTCGAGATAACTTATCGAGATACACCTAGTGTTTATTTGTATAGTTTAAAATAGTATTTTTAATGAATTGTTGTAATTAATAATTTTAGTAATAACAAAGATGATGTTCTTAAGTGCCGTCGAGTCATTTCTGACTCATAGCAATGTTGTATAGGGTTGTTAAGGAGTGGCTGGTAAGTTTGAACCACTGACCTAACGGTTCAAACCAACTTTGCAGTCTACTGCTTATCCTACAGTACCACAATAACAAAGATAGTACAGATTATTTACTTGGGAAGTCTCTTTTAGGAAATCTAATAAGAGCCATAATAATCTTAGCAGGATAGGAAAATTCTAACGGACATTGTAATGAAAAAATATCAGACTATAGAGTTTCAGTTTTCTCTGTTGACTTTTATCACCATTTTCTCCTGATGACCCCCCACCTCCCAGCCTCCCAGGCAACACTGGTTATGAATGCATATTATTTATATGAAAAGGTTTCTTTCTAATGGAAACACTTAACGTGACTTATACATCTCAAAATGTGTGCATGTGTTATATGCCTTCAAGTTGGTTCTGATTCACAGCGACCCTGTATAGGGTTTCTGAGAGTAATTGGTGGATTTGAACTGCTGACTTTGTGGCTACCAGTCCATTGCTTATTTAATAGAACCACACCAGGGCTTTATAAATCTCATAATAGCCTCCATTTATTAAAAAGACCAAGTGAGGAAATAACTATAACAAGCCATCATCACTGAAGCAGAGCACAGACATTCTCACAAGGGGCACACATAACACATTGGTGAAGAGCAACATAGCATTAAGCACTTTTGTGTGAAGTGCATCTGAAAGGCTTTTATTCCTAATCAATGAAATGGAAGATAAAATAGCAGCATAGATAAACTCACATGAGATTTGAGTTCAAGTAAAAAGTCTTCCATACTAACTGCAGGTGTAATTGCCTCCATCGAACCACCTCCTTTGCCGTGAGTCCAGGAGTGGATGGTGCCCAGTGCCTGGAAACAGTTGTTAAACCTTGAATGGAAACTCTCATGAAGTCATCTTTAAGCAACAGTTTAGCTCAATTAATAAAGAATGTTTGCCATGAGCATTGTGCTCTTTTAAATATTTATTTGTATGAGATCAAAATGGACAATAGTAACTCTGAAGCACTGTTGAGAACATTAAAGAACAAGAGTATAAGTTATTATGGTCAAATGATGTGTAGAGATAGTTAGAATGGTGTCATTGTGTGACGTATGTAACCATTGTCATTGCCTTCCATGCCAAAAGTGGAAGCTGAAATGAATTTTTTTTCTCTCTTACTCAGATCTTAAATTTGATAGGTAAACTAAATCCTTCCAGATCTCTGTCTCATAGTTGAGTAGAAGTGTAAATTGTTATGATTAGGTACCATCAAGTCATTTCCAAATCATAACGGCCCTATACAAAACAGAACAAACTACTACCTATTTCTGTATCACTCTCATAACTGTAGTTATGTTTGAGCCCGTTGTTGCAGCTCCTGTGTCTGTTCTTTTTTAGGCAGTGATCCCTTCTGATAAAATGTCCTAAGTATGTGAGACTTTCTTAGGCTGGGTTTTCTAGAGACTCAAAACCAGTGAAACATATGTATATATATATATATAGAGAGAGAGAGAGAGAGAGAAAATGACTTACATTTGCTGAGTACCAGGTCCCCAGCAAAAGAGAGAAAGCCTTTCCACATGCCCTTTATATTGGGAGCAGGCCACACCTCCTAGGAAGCATCTTTTCAATTGATTGGCTGCCCATAGCCACTCATAATAGAGTTAACTATGCCTGTATCTAAGGATCTCTGGTAGCGTAGTGGTTACGAATCAGGTTGCTAACCTCAGGGTCATCAGTTTGAAACTATTAGCTGTTCCACGGAGAAAGATGAGGCTTTCTGCTCCTGTAAAAAAGTTACAGCCTCGGAAACCCTGTACAGGGTCGCTATGAGTCAGAACCGACTCCATGGCACATAACAACATGCCTGTATCTGGTTTCATCACCATCTTAACTGCCAGCCCACTGGGAATCCAGGCCTAGTCAAGATAACACAAAATCCTAACTATTACAGAGACAAAAGTCTTGTCATCTGTGGTACTTCTTAAAATTATTGTCAAGATTTCTTGGATACTTTTTTAAAAAACAGTAAAGTGTGTGTGTGTGTGTGTATACACACACACACGCATGCCAAGGCTTATAAGTAATAAAAACCTCAGTATTAAAATTACAGAGTTTGTTCTTAGATTTACTAGGCAGAACAAGAGACCTTTGTTGTTGTTGTTAAGTGCCATCGAGTCGGTTACGACCCATAGCGACCCTGTACAGGGTTTCCGAGGGTGTAAATCTTTACGGGAGTAGAAAGCCT